ATGATGTTGTGAGGTATCACAAACGGTGCCTTATTCATCCACAAGAAGTTGTTGGTTATCGTTAACTATATGACTGTTGATGCTTTTAATTGAAATCAATAAATGTTGTGTTGATTTAGATGGAATTTTCGACAATGATGCTGCCGGTGAGCATCGACATACCCTTCTCAAGGATCATTGACGATAATTTGGACAGTGGCATGGTCGGGAATCACTTATGGTGTTCAAGTCTATTCTTTTATAATGTACACACAAGTAAAACAATTTATTATTCTATCCTTGTAAAATTATCGATTTATAATTTACATTTTTAAATTCTATTTTTGTTTTTGATAGAATTTCTCGGTTAATATTTAAGTTTTACATTTTTCTTAATTCATTTATAGACGAAATTTACTTTAGTAAATTAAATATGTTGAACTCTTTATATCTTTATTGTACTCACTAAAAATGTATTTCTAATCTTAATTATATTCATTTAATGAAATTTATTACCAAAAAAAAAAAATTATAAGAAAAACAGAGATTAAAATATGTATATTTTAAAAATTGGTGGCTTTCAATAAATCAGGAACCTTAGACGACCATCTAATTTGCCTAATGCTTGAACTGACATTTTCTAAGTTTATAAGTGATATCATAAGAAACTTTTTAAGTTTGTCCAAACGTGCTCTTTATATTTTCACTATTGATTAGACATTCGAACTACTTTTTTGACATTGAGAAACACTCACATCACCATTCATTCAACTAGAAAAAAAAAATATATTATAGACTGAGGAGGGCGATTGGGGACCTTGGGTCATCGTGGGTGAGTGCGGATTAACATGTAACTCTTTAAGTGATTATTTGATAAATATATTTTTTTAAAAGTGATTATTTGATAATGGATATGCGAATAAGAGGTTGAAAATTTTATTGAGAAAGGTATAATTAAAAATAAGTAAGAAAGAAAATTAATTATTAAAGAATTAAAATCAAACGCTAAGTTTGACCTGTATTAAAGAACTACAATAAGCCCTCTTTTGGATCGGTTAAAAATTAATTTTGAAAAAAATTGATAAAATATATAATTAAATGGTAGATAAAATTTGTAGGTTCTGTAAAAACTAAAAAGTGTGATAACATTGAATTTTGGAGAGGAATTTAAAAAACTAGGACCTAACATGGGTTAAATGATGCAAACATTTCAATTAGCATTGTAATCTTCCCATTTTATAACGAATATAGTTACTTTCTTTTCATACTAATAAACTAAAGTTTACTTTAAAGGAGTTGTTACTAGACAATACAAAAAGGTCTACGTGAAGACTTCATATGCATACACATGGCGAACACTCAAAAATTGGTACAGAAGGGACTAACGTCCGAAACTGTCAAAGAAAGTGTCGAGGCTGTTGCATTAAGTTGATCCGAGGTGGTTCGTCTTTTGCCGTCGAACCACTCTACTTACCCAAAGTCCTTGATAAATAGAAGATGGTCGAACAAGCGCATATCCAGAGTTGACTGATGCGAAGTGCGTAGTTAATAAGTGTTAGGAATATCAGCTTAACTTATAGAGTGGCTGACTTCTTGTCAAAAGTTTATCGATGTAATTAATAGATGACAGAGTTGATGTAACAGTTAGGGTCGGAAGAACATGCCAAGTGGATCCAATCCTACGATGACCAATTGGCTTGATCACTATAAATTGGGAATTTTTATATCAATTGAGAAAATACAGTGAAGGGAATAATATACTTGCGTTGTCCATTATTCACTTTCTTCCACAAATATTCATATTTATAGTAGAAATACTACATAATACGTTCACGTGTATATTATTTTGTATCAACACGTGTCGATCATTTTTGAGGGTCAACAAGAGTAATTAATTTTATTTTGAATTTGATCAGATATTAATTAATTTAAAACTTACTTATTGCTTGTAAGTAATTTTTTAAGCTTAAACAAGCATATGCACTAAATGACGTTGATATCTCATCTCTGAGTGGCAATTTTTTGTGCTGGCAGATGGGTGATTGTGCACCACCCTTCAATTATCCAGTCCGCGGTTGTGAAAGGTTGTTGGAGATGCTGACACTTTTGGACCATCCGATCAAGGTCATGATTAGAGGTCCACATTTTCTCAATTACCCTTTGCATCCTAGATCTAGATCTAAGTGGCTAAAATTTAATTCATAAAGTATAAATAGTATATTTATACTATTAAATTGATTGTAACAACCGTAGGTATAGAGCCGTAGTAACTCGTACATGCCAATATGACTTCAATATTACGTTTCATATAACTCTACAAATGCCATTTTTTATAATCGGCTTTGAGATCGAACTCGAAACTTCAATTTGATGTCAAAGTGCAAAAAACTCAAACGAACCATTTGATTTCTCTGAAGTTCAAACCACAAGTCTGAGTATATCAAATGGCAAACGGAACTCAATTTCCCAACCCGTATTTCAATGGCTCATATTGTACAATTCCAACGTTCCCCAGTTACAAGGTTTGGCCCCAATTTTTACAAAATCTCATTTTTTTCAAAAATTTTTTTAACCATACATCCTTTCATAAAATAATTTTACATGTAAATACAATTTTTCTCCCCTAATTTTTAATTATACGTTCTCAAACAAAATGCTATTCGAAAGTAAGTTAACCCAAAAATGAGACTCAAACATGTGCTATATAATTTTCAAATAGATGTGCCAGGTTATTCGTTGACCAGTAGCATTTACCAATTAGCACCATTGAATGTATCCTGAGGCGTGCTTGGAGTACAGGGAAATCTCTAAAAGGGCAAATACAGGGGGGCATGTGGCTTCTTTTCACTGGGACTTGGAAAATAATATTTAAAAAAAAAAAAAAAAGACAAAGATATATAGGTGCTGTTGACAATGAGCCTGTTTGGGAGTGATTTTGAGAATTGATTTTTTGACTGTTAGAAAAAAGGTGGGGTCCATTTGTGAGAGAAAAAATCAAATAGAACGGCTGAAATAGTAAAATAACGGTCAAAAAATCAATCCCAAACAGGCTCAATAATTATGAAGAGTACAGTTTTTAGAACCTTTTACATGTCAATTTTTTTTTTAAATTTATATTATACTCTTATTTTACGTTTTTTGTATTATGTACTGGCTAAATCAAAACTAAAATAGGATCATGACTATCAAGTTGACATGATGTGAGGTCACAAAAAGTTCACGAGCTGATTAAGTCAAAGCCAAGAAAAGAAGATTTAGCTCCTGTTTTGTGGGTATCAAAATAATATTTTTCGTAGATTTTGATAGAAGTGGATGAAATGAGTGGTTGAAAAATTGTGGAATTTATAAATATATATTGTTAATTAAATTGAATGTTGACTTCTATTTATATTAAGATCTAGATTTTAATTTATACAAAATACGGCTTTAATTTGCTGAAGTCAAATCAGATAAGCGTGTCAAGCAGTGAACTATGACTCTACAAGCAAGAGGAGCTCGAATGGCAAAAATTCAATAAACTAAACCGTTGTTTGACAATCATACTATCAGGAAAAATAAAAAATAAAATTAAATAGTGATTTTCAGAAGAATGTGTAGTTAAAAAGTAGGAAAATTTTTGAGTTTACGTGCAATATATATATATATATATATATATATATATATATTTTAAATAATCAAAAAATTTATTGATAAGTCCTTACTTATGGCTAAAGAATACCGTAGTTACATAAGATAAATTTCACTATCAAGATCATAACAAACCAAACTCCTTCTAATCTAAAATAACATTGGAAGATTTAAAAAGTCAAACTAAGAGGAGAAAAACCACGAATATTGGAAATGTCCAGTTTATCCATACGCACAGCTTCTCTAACTAATGATGGGATTGTGCAAGATATTTTATTGTGAATGTGCAGTTGAAAATAAATATGTATAAAAAAAATTTAAAAAGTACAATTGTCAAAAAACTCATATTAAGAAGACCATGCATTTCCCTTTAAGATTAACCATAGGTAAGTTGAGCTAGAGGGACAAAATCCTATGAAGCTAAAGCTTATGATCGGAAGAGCAAGTTCCATTTAAGGTCGGCTAATGTTTTAGAGTTACTCTTTCTTTTATTTTCATTCTCTTACACACATGCACGCACTTTTAAGCCTCGAAAATAAATTTGACCCAACATGGGATAAGGTAACATGTTCAGCCATTCCAACTCAAAATTATTCTCATTAACTAAGCTCAATTGAACAATATTTCGACTATTTCAAGTTTTTAACGATGAAGAGAGATATCATTTCCAATCGAACACAACTATAATGTGCAATCCTCTCCCATCTGGTCTCTACATCCTCCATCAAATTTAGAGACGACAAAATAATCCGTCCAAAAACTCGTCCCGACGGGTAAAAAAAATAAATAAAAAGTGGAAGAGGGTGATAAATAGGAAATCAGAATTCCATCCCGACTCTGCCATTGCTAATTAATAATTAATGAATAAATTATCATTTATTGTTATTTATTTCTCCCATTTTACAAAGTTGTGGACAATGAACAATTATTAGCACTCATATAGAACTTTTTTTACAGCATAATATTATTTTATTAAAAAATATGATTGAAATAATGTTAAAATACTATTTAATAATGTATTATTTTTAAAGGATGAGACTCAAACAGGGACATAAAATGCACTTACCTCACTAGACAAGTCAAACCATTTCATGAATAAAATCTTCGAAATCTTGATAAGATAAACTTGTTTTTATTTTCACACAAATCAAAAAATATAATTAATATGGTTAGAAATATTTATTATTCTTACATTTTTCCTAATATATTCATATATTAAAAATAATTTAAAAAGAATATGTTTATATTTATTGATAATAAGATATTAAATAGAGATATATTAGAAAATTAAAAAATATCTATATTTTAATAAAAAAAAGTAGCCTATAATATAGGAGTTAGGAAAGATGAAAAAGGAGGAATGTCTATGAGACGAAGGTAGTAAATGTTTTAATTTTTTTGCAAGAATGAAACGCAAATGTACTGTCTACAGCCCATTGCCAACAACAAAAACAAATGACGAGGGCCGGTTTTCAATTCTTTCTCCTCCTTTCTGATAGTGCTTCTTCTTTTATTTCCTAAAAAGTTTTCATCACAAATATTTTTATTTCCAAAGAAAAAATTTACTTGAATATATAATTCAGAAGAATTATTTTATTCTGATAGTTGCACATCTCAGAAGAATTAGAAACTTTCATTTGTACAGAATATAGGGAAAGAAGAAAATAGAATAGGAGAGCTGTTTAGCGAGACGAGGGACAAAATTGAAAATCTTGATTTGAATCTCTTATGGAGCAGCTTATCAGCTTCATTATAAGACCACCCAGGTGAGGAAAAAATCTATTCTTTTTTATGTTTCTAAATCTGTATGTATATAGAATTTTATGTTTTATACGTGTTTGTATTATAAAGTTGAATCTTTGTCAAAATTCTCAGATGTGTATTAAGTATTTTGTCACTGAGGGGAGATTTTGTCTTCAATTAACTGAATTTTTGAATCCTTTTGGTGGGTTAATTTTTCCTTTTGAAATCTGTTGTTTCTCTGATGGGTTAGTTTTCCGTATATTATAATTTATTTTTGCTGAATAGCTGGGAGCTTAATTGGAACGGGTGAATGCTCTTATTCTGATTGATTTTTTAGTGCTTTTGGTGTTTCTGTGAAGGTTTGTAAGTAAAGGGTTATTTTAGGTTAAAGTCTTGATCTTGCTCTGATTTAAATGGAGATTCTACAAATGGAATGTAGAACTCTTAGATTACTTTCACTTCTCTTGTTTTGTGTGTTTCTTTAGATTAACACGTTGGGTGCTCTGTGTACTGATCTCTAACTCAGGTTGCTGTGAAAGTGAACCTTGCAGAAAGATTTCTTTTATTTTTAGTTGATAGAAAGCTGGAATGAGTGTCTAGTTTCCGATGGGGTTGCCAAAATTTAGGATAGGCCATGGCCCATGCCAGCCCCTCCTGAATTACATGCCTCCAGAGAAAAATTTTTGTTTTAACCTTAGAATAGTTAGTAAGTTCCGGTAACTCTTGAAGCTTCTTTTGCATATGCTTTTACCAAAAATTGGGAGAGAAATTGGCAATCGATCCTTTTCCTAGATGCCTTTCAGAAAGGAAGATCTTGAATTTTATTTTTTCAATTTTTTAATTCAGCGACCAGGAGATTTAAGGAAAATTGTCAAGCTTCTGAATCCTAAGAGTATTCATATACGTGAAAAGATTACTAGCTCCTTAAATAACATTTATGTAATGATAAGCTTTTTCATGTAAATGCCCTGTCACATGCTTGCTTAAACCTAAGTTCTATGATCCTATGTTAGGTTCTGGGGCCTAACTTGAACCTTGAACCCTCCAAACACAAGTTAGATTTTGATCAACTAATGATACGTTTAAACCAGATTGCTCTTACTCTGAATCAGGTTATTGCAGTCTGAATTATGTTATCACTTAGACCATTGAGCTATTTAATTGTGAATTATATTGCTATATAGATCCAAGTTCTTTAACTTCGATTTCTTTCATCATTTAGGAGTCTTACGATAGGTTACTAGTGGGTTAGCTCAAGTAGTGGTGGGCAATATGGGAATTTAGCAGAATGAATTGTATAGGCTTTGCAGTATAAACAGGTGAGGGTAGTTCCATTTTACTTAGGCAGAAATTATGGTGAAAATGGGGGAGAGAGGCAATACTTGAAAGCTGATCGACTGTGTAATTTCCTGTCAATTCTCCTAATTTTAACTCAGTTTTTCACAATCAGTTCGCAAATATATATATATAAAACCACAGCATACAGCAATTGCAATCAGGTTCCTTATCATCTTAGCAAGGTCGAAAATTCCATAGGGATTAAGCTCAAATTCTCTATTTCCAGCTTTAAACAACCAAAGTCTGAGACCAATACTACATTTTCTAGATATATCAGACTAAATTTTGGATATATCAGACTAAATTTTGGCATTGAGGCTCTGATTTGTCCAACTAGACAAGAAGATAGAACTAACTGATTGATCAAATTCTCAGGGAATGGAAGTCATGTACCGAAGTATAGTTTTATTAGTAAAGATACCTGTCTTTGTTTCATGAAGAAGCTAAAATGCTGTTTTGCATGTTTTTCTTGATATTGTTCAGTTGAAATGATATTTTGTGACTGCAGTGGTCGCAATTGCTCGTCAAAACCATTTTGCGTACTTAGTTTGCATTACTTTTCTTTCTACACCATGATTTTAAATCATGAAAAAGTGTATAATTTGTTTCCATAGCCTTTAATCTTCAGTGCACTGCTTCCTTTTCTCTGCATAGCTTTACGAAATGGTAATTCGGGACACGAGTATATTTATCATTACTTATTTCTCGACTGCAGAGCTGAATACAATCCGAAAAATGATTTGTTAGATCAAGAATTCATGCTTAAAGGGAAATGGTACCAGAGGAAAGACTTGGAGGTAAGATGCATTCAGACAGTTTGCTGACTTTGCATAACACTCAAATCCTCGGGGCAAAAAATTATTGACAGATGGAAGACGAATAGTGAATATATTCCTATTCTTTTCTCCCCCCAATAAAACCTCGTACTAAAATCTGATATGGTTTTTCTTAAAACCTCATTTAAGTACAATTGGACACAAACACATAATTGATGACAAATTACTATATCCTAAAATAGTTTCAATATCTACTTTTTTGGGGTTTTCAGACTACAGATATCACTTTTAAATTCTGGTGTTTCTTTTATTCTTCCTTTTGGTGGGATTGAAGTTTTTCAATCATAGCACTTTGGTCTTATATATGTAGAGCTTTCTTCATTCTGCAGGTTGTAAATAGCCGAGGAGAGACTCTTCAATGTAGTCATTACATGCCAATTGGTCGTCCTGAAGGATGTGTCCTGCCGTGTGTAATATACTGCCATGGAAATAGGTCAGTGTTTGTTTTCAGCCGAAACTTGCACTGCTAGTCTAATGTCTTCATCTTTCGTTGGTCTTTTTATAAATTTGGATTTTATCCATGATAATTGGTATAATGAGCTCAATCTATTGTTGTATCATGTATGTGAGTGAATCAAATCTGGTCCATGAAATTTTACTCATTTCATTTACTTACTGATGTGGGTCAGTTGATATGGTATGGACTGAAATTTTCTCCTATCCCTCTACCTTCGGTGACATCAATTGTTGCTTACTAATGATCTCTTTTTTTTATCATGTGTCAGTGGTTGCCGAGCGGATGCTAGTGAAGCTGCTATCATATTGTTGCCTTTGAATATAACAGTTTTCACTCTTGATTTCTCTGGTTCTGGACTCTCTGGAGGAGAGCATGTAACTCTAGGCTGGAACGAGGTAAATAGCTGAGTAACTCATATCTCTCTCTCTCTCTCTCTCTCTCTCTCTCTCTCTCTCTCTCTCTCTCTCTCTCTCTCTCTCTCTCTCTGTGTGTTTGTGTGCGCGTGTGCAGGATGTGATCTTAATTTTTCTGAGCAAATAAACGATAAATTGAAGCATGAAATTCTATCTAATGAAGTATATTTCTCGGACGACCAAGATCTTGCTCATCTAAATGCATCTTTTACAGGAATAAGAATATTATATGGGGGCGTAATGCAATTTCCTGAGCAAAATGAAGGAGATTTATCCAAATTAGTTGTTGACATTGTTCCATTTATGCTGAAATGCTATAACTAGTTTATTTGCCTGTTGTCTTCTAGAATGTCAGGACTTATTTCTTTCGGTAATTGTGTTTTGTTAACCTGATTTCCTGCAATGTGATGTGCCCCAGCAATCTATCATGGCTTCATTTTCATCGATTGTTAATGCCATTTAATATCTATTTTTTTCTGAGGAAATGTGGTCTGATTTTGCAGAAGGACGATTTAAGAGCCGTGGTTGATTATCTACGGGCAGATGGGAATGTTTCTTTGATTGGTTTGTGGGGTCGCTCAATGGGTGCTGTTACAAGGTTAGTAGGTTTGTTTCATCTCCTCGCAGCTCCTTACTCAAGGGGGTGTTGGTTCAACAGAAATAAAATCCCTAGACTAGAAATATTGATAGATTTTATTTGAATATTTTTTGATAAACCAGTCATAAGAGTGGAATTGGCTCCTCCAATTGCTTGATGCTTTTATGATAAATGTTTCCTTATTTTTCCGTTTTCTTCGACATTCCTGGCAAGTAATTGTAATTTTTTTACCAGCAATGACAGTGCTGGCTTTTAAACAGTAATGGCGGACATTTCTGTGTTATCTTTGCTTCGCCCCTCAGGGGGTTGTTTTGTCTGATATCTGTTCTTTGATGTGGGACATTAATTGTGAGTCATGCCATGTAATTTGTATCTCGTTGTGGTAAAAAAATGGCCTGTACGCTAGCATAGTTGTTGTATCACAGGTCAAGTGTCAGCAACATTTGGGTAAATTGTTTGCCTCTTTATATCTTGTCCACAGTTTGTGGAGACATTGACTAATGCAATTTGAGAATTTTATTTGAAAAAATAGTAATACACTTGCAGATTATCTTTTGAGAAGTGATATGTTGTACGCAAAAGGGTGCTATTCCATAGCCATGACGATGATACACTTGGTGTTCTATATACTGCCTTTATAAAGAAGAATAGAAAAAGGGTAAACTTGTCTAGCTGTCTAGGTGTTATCTGATTGCGTATACATAACTTTCTCTAGTGTTATAAATAATTTATAGCTTCATATATGCCATGGGTGTAGACTATAGCTCTTGCCCACTATTTTTATGATTGCATGACAATAACTTGATATTGTGCTTCTTTCAGTCTGATGTATGGAGCTGAGGATCCTTCTATCGCAGGAATGGTTCTGGACAGTCCCTTCTCTGATTTGGTTGATTTGATGATGGAGCTGGTGGATACTTACAAAGTTCGACTCCCCAAGTTCACTGTAAGCTATTCAGATTGTAAAACCTGGTTCTCATGTGTTTAAATACTACATCCATGTTAGCCGCGTAATGGAACATATAATTTACCGATATCTTTTATCCAAAAGTTTTTTACTCTTTCACGTTGGATCTAGCTTTTGTCTGTCTAACGATTCTATTTTTGTTATATTAGGTTAAGTTCGCAATCCAGTACATGCGGAGAGCAATCCTAAAGAAGGCGAAATTTGACATAACGGACCTCAACACAATCAAGGTATCTCACCGGAACTGCAATCTTAAATAACGAGTTCACCCACCCAAGTATTATCCTGCGATTAATTCCTTTCCTTTCTTGTATATTACATTATCCATCGGTAGTAAATAAAATAACTCCCTTGACTTTTTCAAAGTCAACCAGATTTTTTCTTGAAGTAGTATTTAATAATTATTTTTTTGAACTTAATGAGTGAAGCTAGAATTACTTTTAACTTCTTAGGAAATATTAAGTTTTTGAAGTCTGGTTTCCAGAACTATATAATCAACCAACTGTTTGAATTCGGAAGAGCACATTCCTTTTAAGACAAAAGCATATATTTTTCTTATGTATTTCTCATTATTCCTTGATCCTTTCTCTGGTTTTATAACATATTAGAGTACTCAGTGACATTTACAATGGATCACCCTACTAAAATATACAATAGTTTGCAATACAAATTAGAATGTTCAAATCAATTGCCATCATCTTTGGCTACAGCAACTTATGAGTTGTCTGTTCTCACTACAACATTTTGGCAGTTCAGATAATCACACTACATGCTCTTTCTTTCGTTTTCTGTTTTATCAAGTCTTCAGTTTATTTATTGGAGTTCGCTTCTGCAATTTTAGAAGGTGCTGGAATTTTCTTCAAAACTTGATTCTATACCTCTTTTGAGGTGCTGGTCTTTTCCAAGTACTCGTGCAATGATGTAATGCTTCGTCAAACTTAAATAATTATTAAAGTGACAATGGTGGAAGATATCTCAACCTGAGTCTGTACCTTGTCCTCCAGCTTAGATATTTTTGATGTTGCTATACAAAAAATCGTCTTGCTGCTGCAGTTCTAATGGGTCAGGATTGTTTAAGCGAACATTTTCATATTGGTTGATGATATACTCATGTTCTTTCCATTTTCTTCTCTATTTTTGAGTAAGGCAACATAGGCCTCTTTCCTGTCCTACTGATGAGATTGGTACCAGATATTAAGTTTTGATCAATTTTCTCTTTCTGTATAATTTATTGGAATACCATTTGGTATGATTTCTAGACTGCTTAGGTTTTGCATATGCATCACAGCATACCTATAAATAAACAGCTAAAATTATATTCCCAATGACTTGTTACCGAGGATAATTTGACTTGCTAAAGAATAATGGAAGTGATGAGACAAATTAGTTTTGAGGATAAAAGTATGATTTTTCCATTGAAGAAATATGTATATCTCGTTTAAAAATCTAGAAGTGACGGCCTATTATTCATACATACTGCCCGATATATGTTGTAGTTACTATTCCTAACTGTGATTACATCACTTCTTTTTGTCTAGGTTGCAAAATGTTCATTTGTTCCAGTTTTGTTTGGTCATGCTGTTGATGATGATTTCATACAGCCCCATCATTCTGATCGCATATTTGATGCTTATGTGGTAATCCTCTTTCACTGTAATGGATCTTTCACCCTGCATGAATTATACTTCATGCCTTTATGGATATTTTTTTCCTGCGACGTGGTTCTCTGCAATTTATACCATCATTTGCTGAAATGTTTGGGCATTTTCCTTCGCAGAAATGTTGTATTAGTAAAAACACAGATTTTGTAACAATTATTTTCTCATTTTTCAAATGTGGATAATATTTTACTCTGTAGCACAGACACTTCAATTAGGGTAGCGTGTCACGTGTCGATACCGACACTTCTCGGACACTCTACTATAAACATTTTTCATTCTTAATAAAAAATATTTATTAATATTATATATTTTTAACTCAAAATTATTAATAAATAACAAATAGTACTCATATTCAAAAGATTTCAACAAAAAAATTAATAACAAATATAAAACTAAATTTATACTATATAAATTAAGATTTGTAAAGATTTTACTCAACGTGTTGTGTTGCGTCGCGTCAATACTTTTTTGAAAAATCACGTGCCGATGTATCCTACACGTATTATGTTAGACACACATGTCAGTGTCAGTACATCATAAATATTTTAGTTTGAGTCCAAAATTGTTTACAAATATGAGATGCTTTTTTGCCCACCTCTTTCAATATCGAATTACTCAAGATATCTTGGACAACATTCTATTGTCCAATTTGCTTAACAGTGAAACTGAGAACCATTAACAATTTTCTATAATTTTCCCTAATATTTATGTGCATCACGTGCCATTCTCAGCTGCTAATAATTTCTTTTATCTATAATCTGAACCTTGAAAAGGTTCAATAATCAGTCTTTCCGCATTCTTTATACATCTTATTTCCTCTTTCAATTTATTGGCCTGCTTAAGTGTGTACTAGATCTTCTTGTATGGAATTAGGTCTTTGGAGAACTTTATTCTTATTCATAAGATTTTACTGTTGGTGCTGGTTAGTTACATAAGAAAATGTATGTATGTAACATAGCCCACTTAGGTATATGAAATATCTAATTGCAATGCTGCATCAGTATCTATGTGCTTTTCTATTGAGCTGATCCGACACCAAGTGGCCCACACCTCTGAGGACTCTATATGAAAGAGAAAGGCGTTCCTTTAACCTCGAAAATAGTCCGGTTTCTCACGCAAAAAGGCGGTGGGAATAGGCCTACACAGGCTAGGAATAATATTACCACGCCAATTGCGCAACTTAAAGCCTTTTTCCAAGGATTAGGGTGCCACTCTTACCCTGCTTAGTCGAGTTACTCCACATGCGCGAGCCAACATTTGTTTTCCTTGTATTTATAGACACCTAATTTTTACAGGGTGACAAGAATATTATAAAGTTTGAGGGTGATCACAACTCTCCACGCCCTCAATTTTATTTTGATTCTATTAGTATCTTTTTCAACAATGTACTACGACCACCAGAGGATGAAGGAGGGACTGCATTTTTTGACATGTCTCATGATTATTACAGCAAGGTAACTTATTACAATAACATTATGGTTTTTGAGTCCTAAAGCAATAGCCAGATCTCTGACTACCATACAAATTTTATTATTGATTGACTGCATCCAGGGTACTTGGACTACCGACCACGATACAAAATATCTGGATGATATCTCGGCTTCCCCTTCAGGTATCTATTTCTTACTTTATTTTGCTAATACTGAGAGATGTTTCTATTTTATTCTTTCTTGAGGAAGTTTCTCAAGTTTTTAATGACACGCAGATCAAGCTGGTAGTACTACTGAAGATGCTATTAACCAAGTTCGCTCCAGAAGACCTATGAGTAAAATAGTGGTAAATTATAAGTTTCTTTTCTGCGATGATCAAATTTTCGTTTATTTCATGACACCAGAAACATTATGTTTTGGAATTAAGAGTTTAATACTCTTAAGTTTATACACGGTCTGATCTTGTAGTATGCAACACACTCGTTATTGTGTAGCCAAATAATCTTTCATAAATGAACCTTTAATTCGGTTTCCTTTCATTTTCGAGGATATCATCACTAAATTACTGGTTATTTATGCATCATTAAAATCAATACAGGTTTATGTCGGATCTTGATGATTGATTGTTGTTTTATTGGTATTAAACAGGTCCCTGCAGAGATGTCATCCAAAGATAAACAATCAGATGGCCAGGTAGCTTCTAAAATTTTAGCGAAAAGTTCCCCATCATTTTTTAATTCTAACTTCCCTTCCTTATAGTTCCGCCCTTAAAATTATGCAAGTGTTGTGGGATAAATTTTTTATTTTAATTTTTAAATTCTGTATCTATTACCCTAAATTCGGCAGATTTCGTAAAACCCTGAAGTTCGTTGTAAATATGATAATGCTGTAGACTCTCAACAATTCAAAGTTTAGTAGTCCAGAGAAACTGCATTTATAAACTCATAATCTAACTTTTTTGTTCTTATTGTCTTAGCTGTCTAAATTAAATCTGAGAAAGGGAAAAGGCTGGTAAAGAGATTCCTCTGATGGTGGATATAAATAAATTAAATTAATTGGAAAAAGTTTAGTTTGGTCCTAAAATAACTAGGATACTGCAGCATGAAGAATATGTCTTTACTTCAATTTTTGCTTGTGAATCTGTTGTTTTCCCTTTTTTTCACCTTCTTTGTACAAAAATGCTAGGTTATAAGTCCTCCTGAGATAGTCTGTGCTTTGCAGGAAGAAGGTACAGGATCTGACTCTCATGCGTCGTCTTCTAATATGATCAGCTTTGAATTATCTGGTGGTAGTCCACATGGTACTCTGCCTGCACCAATAGATGATGATGAATATGTGGAATACCCTCTCGATAACTTAGCAGACTTCCCGAGCAATGTGGAAGAAGAAGAGAGGGTGAGTATATCTATTCTTTTCTTGGGATAAATATCTCAGATCATGTTTCGATTTGAAACGAAGTGCTATTTACCTGACATTAAAGTTTGCTTAAATTTTCAGATGTTCATGAAAGCTGTGATGGAGTCGCTGAAAGACCTGGAGACGGGAAACGCACACGTTGAGGAACCATGTTCTCATGTTGGCAGTAAACTTCTTGAACCACATGAAAAAAATGATTCTTTTTCTACGCTGGCCAAATCCATAAAAACGGTGTCCACTTCAGCAGCCACTTGTTCTGAATTAACCCCTCCTTCAGAAGCAGGAATTAACATACCTCGTAGTGACATTTCAACGTGTGACTATAGTACACCGGATGACTTGGCAAATCATCCAAAGGCCACTGCAGCAGCGGCAAATAACCCTAACATTAACGATACTACTCCGTCTCCCAGCGTTGCAGAAAGAAATGAGACTGCTTCTCGTGGCGATACTCAACCGGGCAACCAAAGTTCATCTGACACAGATGTGGCTGACCACACGAGGGTAACTGTAAAGGTTGTGAAAACCCCGACTACTAATATTATGGACGGTTTGTTTCGTCGCTGGGATCTCAACTTCTTCAAGAATAGATGACTTGAGTATCATGCAACAAGGCGACGAGGAAGAATATTTAAAAGGTATATCTTTTGTGAAGAGGGTATTCTTAATCCCTATTTTATGCTGTTAGGAGTTCGATAAAGAGCGTTAGTTTGGTTATTCTCGTTTGACTAGGAAGACGATACAGTTATTTCCGCCGATGATGATAGAAGGGCCTTTCTACCAGGAGGATTATTTTCATTTGTTGTAACTATACAGGGGAGATTCTTTCGGTTATGTACAGTTGATGAATAGATTTTTACTTGTATCTAAACCAAAAAGTATTTGGTTCTGAGTCTTCCTGGTTAACATGTGATTTCCTTTGTAAATGCAAATTCAAACTTGGATGCATGTTTGATGAATTTAATACACTATTTGTTCTTTAGCCATTGATTTTACCGGTGACAAAACTTCGTTCTATGGCTCATAATCAGGTAAAATTATAATCATGTAAACATCCTTTTCAAGAACTAATGAAACAAGCATACGCATGTAAACTGATTAATCAATTTTTAAATGCTGGAATAGATTTTATGGTGAGACTTTTCGTCTGAAAAAAAAAAAAGTCACACTTAATCAATCCCGAACGCCTCACTGGATGCATAAACTGAAAACTCAACAAAATGATCTCCAAGTCTTTTTGGCTCGTGTGACATAAAAGGAACGTGTTTTGGTAATAGCCATAGCTGGAGAACCAACTTATGGAAGAAAACCCTTGACCCTACTCGTGTCAACATGGATTGAGGCCAAAAGTCTTATTTTCCAGGCCGACACTCTCGAATCATAGATAACTATTCTAATTCTTTCTATATCTGTTTACAGAACTCCTTTTTTTTTTTTTTTTTTTTAAATTCTTATTTTTTATTTTTTTGAATTTTGCATTGGTATAGTTTGACCTCTCTTGTCTTTGAGTTTTTGTAACAATCTTATGACTGATGATTTCCCATTTTTGTGTACTCTCATGGAACTGTTTACAAAAAGTATGTGCACTCTGTGTAATTGGTAATTTTGCTGCTACTTTTTATGTAGATTCATATCCAACAGTTACTCATTTTGTTGATTGCATCCTTAATTTGCACAAACTACGTTTTATTTCATAGATGCATGATAAATGATATGTTTTTTCACTATATTATATACATATTTTGTTATGCTTGGTTACATTATAGGAGTGAAATCTTATAAAATGTGTTCATGACTTGTGGGATTGTAGTTATTAAACTCGATCTGACCATTGACCCGGTCAAGGCACCAAGTCTTGGGTTGCTAGTCCAACCGAAGGGTTAGTAGTTAAACCGGTGGGTTAATACTTAATAATTATAAAATATTTATTAAAGTATAAAGTTTTTCTTCTACATAAAACAAAAAGAAATTTTTTTTATCTATTATTAATTATTTATATATTATTTTGTTAAATATTCAATTCACGTTAATCAAAATAGTTACTATAATTTTTTAAAAATATTTTTAACAAACTAAAAAAGATTTACATATATATAATTATTGCAAATACATAACAATAAATAATTGATCTCTAGTGGTACTCATTAACCTAGAGGTTTAAGGTTCAAGTCCTTTTGAGAACAAAAAATTTATAGACAAGCTTTTAAATCTTGGTCAAACTAGTCAACTGGCCGAATTAATATAAAAATCGTCGATTAACTCGATTTTTACCTAGTCAGCTACATATTTATAAAAATATTCTAGAGTTCTTTGAGCACTACACAGCTCTAAAATAAAACACATATAACTCTCCTTCTATGGACACGATCATAGGGAGATAAGTGAACGAGCCTTTATCGAGATGCAAAAAGTATAATATAATATTGTAGAAAGGATAATGTTTCAAGTGGTTCTCTCAAATTATAGAAATGACTCCCTTATATAGTGTAAAACTTCAACCCCCACAATAATGAAAATTATCCTAATTAACATATAAGTTATCATATGAATTATGGTCTTTTAATTTTATGTTAAAATTAAAAATTAATAGGCTTTAATTCTGAAAGGTTGAAACTTATTTCAAGTTACAACAACTTCCACAGACCACAAGTTATAATATGTTTGGTACACTATAATATTATTAATTTAATTTTGTATTAAATTGAAATTAAAATAGAACAACAATTATTAATTTGAAAATTTAAAACTTAGCCCCTGTTTGGGAGTCATTTTGGCTAAATTTAAATTCTTTTTTAAATCGTTTGAAAAGGTGAACATTACAATAACTTTCAAAATGGTCAAATGTTGTAGGCATGCAAAATGACATGAGTGCTCCCTCCTAGATTTTAAACTTGTCTAGCATTGAGGGGCAAAAGTGACAATTGACATAATATGGTATACATTTGAATTGTCAATTGTGGTGGATATGTCAGTTTTGGCAGAAATTGGCTCCATTCCAATGGTCAAAAAATGTAGTGTGAAAAAAAAAATGGCTCTCAAACAGGGGCTTCAATTATTTATTTTTCAACAATCCTTCACAAGTTTTAAATTTTCAAAAAATATATAAAATGATGACATTATACTGTGTAATAGGTGTAGATGTCTTTTGAATTTGAACCTCACTTAGTAATAACAATTTCCATTTGAGGGAGCCATAATGGACTAAGCCTTGAATTAAGTCACTTTGGCCAAACTTCAATTGTTCTACATACAGTATCAATTTAGGCCCAGTTTATTACAGGTAGTGCTGTTAATGGCCACGTGCTTAAATCTTGATTCTAGTAAGAGTCTCTAGAAAATAGCTCAATCCATAATCACATCCTCATGGCAACTCTTACATAGGCGAGTCCTTCAAGGGTGTGTGTGACGCACACCTCGAAAGAATTCTCGTCTCGGTACTCATTCAGGATTTAACCCTTCCTAATATCACCACATTATTAGCAATATATCACCATAGGGGTGAGCACAAATAAGATAGTGCTATACAAGTCACGCAGTACGGGTTGTTTCTATCACATTGAACATTTTTCATGGGATCTCCAATCACAAATGTTGGATTACTCCTAAAGGTGATTCCCTTATGGGCTTAAATCCATCCCCATCGATAATTTATGTATGTCCATCACAGACTACGTATATTCATGTCCCTCTTGGACAATAAATTGGTACCATTAATTTGCAAAGCTTTTCTTCTTCACCTGTCTATTTGTATATTTGCAAAATCACCTAAAAAATTTTCAAAATGTCAATATCACATATATAATTATAATAAAATTTCTGTTATTGGCTTCTAGTAACACGTTTGGGAAAATGTATCCATTAAGCTCTTGTATTTCACCTGTAATCTTCAAATTCATTTTTTGGCACTATTCAAGAGTTAGTTTACAACTAGGAAAAATATAAGGTGTATCTATTAAACACCTCCACATTTCAAAGATATACATCGTTGTGGAGTTTCTTTGAAATTTTTCATGTCTGCAAATACTTCTAAACACTTTCACAAAATGATAGTGTCACAATAAATAAGAATAACTTAGATTTAAAAGTATGACATTTCGATATTCATCCAACTTCTCTTCGAACATTAACCAAAGAAAAGAAACTCTATTAAATAATTAAATACCTCCACATTTCTAAGATATACGACTTGTAGCACTTCTTTACCACATTTGAAACTAGCCTCCTCATACATATAGGATAAGATGTCGCTCACTATAGAGCAAGAAAATATTATCTAATTCATGATGTGAAATTCAATATATGACTATTGGTCAAAATTAATTAAATATATTATCACTTAAATTATTTGACAATACCTTTATGAGCCTAGTGATTATGTTTGTCCAAATATAAATATTTACAAATTCTCCCACTTAGACAATATAATCGAACACAATGATATTTATGCATCACAAAACATTAGACAATATTTGTTAACATAACCATAAAGTATCAAATATGGTTTAACAATATTTATGTAACGCCCCGAATTCTAATAACCCGAAACGTTACGAAACATGAATATACCTTGAAATAAACAGTTTTAATATAACGAGAAATTCTGTAAAAGATTGAATAACATTTAATCAAAAGATAAATTTAAATATGCGGAACGTTTGAAAACATATCATTCATCCAAAAATTATTAGAACAGTTAAAACTAATTGAAAATTTATAATGCACTCACAATTGTGTCAAAAATGAATAACCCATTATTAGTTCTAGTGTTTTTGAAAATTAAAATACTCCAACAGCAAATCCATCCACCGCCGTCCAGCATACTAATTATTACCTGAAAATTGTAAATAAGGGGATGAGTATAACGAATTATACTCAATGAGATACTTGCTACTCCACATTCAAGTCAAACATGAAATTACAAATAAATTATCTTACCAACATAACATGAGAATTATCACACCATGACAAATGATAATTCTAGCAAGCGCTG